ATTATTTTTTTTAAATTTAAAAAAATTAAAAAAAAATATTAAAATATTTTTTTAAAAATTTAAATAAATTTTATAAAATTTTTTTAAAATTTAATTAAAAAAAAAAAATAAAACAAAAATTTAATAAAAATTTTTTTTAATTTTTAAATTTATTTAAAATATTATTAAAAAAATTTTTTTGGGAGACGTGAGGGACCTTCGCTCACTGGTAAACAATGCCAGACTGGCTGCGCCACGCTCAGCGGGGGTTTCGTCCCGGACAACTGACTCGCGAGTCAACCTATGAAAAGAAGTCCATGTTTATACGAAATACCCGTGGCTTGGTATTATTTTACGATTGCCGAGAACTACGAAAAGCGAGGGACCACTGTACCTCTAATCTTGCATATTTATGAGGCAGACAAAAGACACCAGCAGTCCTACCATCATGTAAAACAATTACAGGCTTTCGTTTTACACTGACTTGGCAGACATTAGTACCTCCCTGGGTGGTTGCTGTCTGCCAATCTACTACTTTATTCATATGCTCCTCAAATCTATGGAAATCACTTGAGGGGGTCACCTATTTTAAACTCCATTCAGATTTGATCACTGGTCTTCACTTCAAGCTTTCTCAGTATTTAACCCAGTTTTGGAGAATGGGTACAGTATAAAAAAGTCTGTCCCACGTGGTGCATGATGGGAAAAACAAAACTCTGACCATGTGTTTGATATAAAGTAGTGACTGAGGTGTTTTCTAGGATGGTTTTTGTGGTTCTTATGCATTGTTTCTTGGTATTATTTGATTTGGAGCACGTGAGGGGACCTTCGCTCACTGGTAAACAATGCCAGACTGGCTGCCGCCACGGCTCACGCCGTGGGTACGCGTCCCGGACGAACTGCGACTCGCGAGTCAACCTATGAAAAGCGAGTCCATGTTTATACGAAAATACCCGTGATTGGCGAATTTTACGATTGCCGAGAACTACGAAAAGCGAGGGACCACTGTACCTCTAATCTTGCATATTTATGAGGCAGACAAAAGACACCAGCAGTCCTACCATCATGTAAAACAATTACAGGCTTTCGTTTTACACTGACTTGGCAGGACATTAGTACCTCCCTGGGTGGTTGCTGTCTGCCAATCTACTACTTTATTCATATGCTCCTCAAATCTATGGAAATCACTTGAGGGGGTCACCTATTTTAAACTCCATTCAGATTTGATCACTGGTCTTCACTTCAAGCTTTCTCAGTATTTAACCCAGTTTTGGAGAATGGGTACAGTATAAAAAAGTCTGTCCCACGTGGTGCATGATGGGAAAAACAAAACTCTGACCATGTGTTTGATATAAAGTAGTGACTGAGGTGTTTTCTAGGATGGTTTTTGTGGTTCTTATGCATTGTTTCTTGGTATTATTTGATAGATTTTTCTACTGAAATAGAGATGATTTTGGTTGGTTTCAGGACCAGAAGTAGATTGAATTTGGGCTTAAAGTAGCAGAAATATTAGATTTTTGTTGATATTTTTACCCCCTGGTCTGTTTTATGGGTTTTTAACCCTTTTGGGATTTCGGCTGTACTAGTACGGCTTACATGCCAGGGTTTTTGATGTACGTACTAATACACACAAATTCTAGCGCCCTCAAATCTAGCAAGAGAAAGCTGGTAGGCCTACATATGAAAGAATGGGTCTATGTGGTCAGTGTGCATAGTATAAAAAAAATCCTGCAGCACACAGTGCGTAATGAGAAAAAAAACTTTGACCGTGTTTTTGGTTTAAAAGAGCAACTTTGCACTGTATTTTCGTATGATATTTATGGTTGTATTCTAGTTTTCCTGGTCTTATTTTATAGAATGGAAGACATATTACAGAAATTGAGATGATTTTGATTGGTTTCACAATGAAAAGTACCTTGAAATTGAGCTCAAAGTAGCAGAAATGTTTGATTTTTGCCAAAGTTCAAAAGTAAACAAATCATGCCATGCGTCCAATACATGTCAACTAGTGAATCTAATATTCTTTCACAAGTGCCTTGGTATTATTTATACCATTTCTGCATCAACACAGTAGTCTGCATAACAGTAAATCTTCTATTTTTTTGTGAGAATAAAAATTCAAAGTGGAAAGCAAAAGAAATGTAATAGGGGCCTGGGGATGTGACTAATGAGCAGAGGAAATGTTATTTTAGTGCCAGGAATGTCTTTCTTGTTTATTCTGAGCCCTATTTGGAAATTGGCATCTTTTGAAATTTGTGTGAAATTGGCAAAATTGCTAAATTCTGACAACTTTATTGGATAGTTGGAATGGGTAAATGGGTGGTTTCTTGTACTCATTTGATAGAAAAAATGAAGTTCTAGCGAAATAGTTATGATTTTTGTCGACTAGTACACTGGAATTGGTCGAAAATAGGGCTCAAAGTGGGCAAATTCGCCGATGCATAAACATCGTCGAGACCACTAACTTCATGAGAGCATAATTCCATAAGTTTTCCATCAAATTTCATACTTTTAGTGTCATTATGATCAGGAAAAGATTCTGATTCTGTCTCTGAGAGGGCCTGGCGACCCTCAAAGGGTTAATAGGTCTGATTCAATTATTGGGATGCTATAAACAATGACCAATCATTCCTGGTTATATTTTATTTTCTGGGAAATAAAGTAAATCTTCTGTTTTTGTATGATTATGAATTCAGAATGGTAGGAAAGTGTAATATAGTACAGGCCTTGAGACGTGATCATTCAACAGAAGAATTTTTGCACTAATGCAGGAATGTGTACATTATTAATTTTGCACTGTCTTTTTAAATTTGTATTTTTTAATTGTGTAAAATTGGCCAAAGTACTGACTTGTGTGCACTTTATAGTGTAATTGTAATACAGCCTCTCCTCACTTAACGACAGAGTTCCGTTCCGGAGACCAGGTCATTAAACGAATTTGTCACCAAGTGACGAGCATACTGTAATGGTACTGCATGATCCTTGTCAGTTTAGCACTTCTTTGAAAAATACTACTACTAATAATAATAGCTATAATGGTAGTGAGTTTGTGTCAGCCATCTTTGATATTGTTTTAATGACACCTTTGCGCCATTTATAACATTTCTGGTATATTTTTTTATGTTTATACAGTAGTGTACTGTACAGTACAGCTAGCCCTCCATTTTCGTGAGTTTCACTTTTGCGAGCTTCGAACATTCGTGAATGCCCAGCCACCAATTGTATTTACCAAACAAATGCTTTGTGGCTAGTGTGTGTGTGTGATTTTGTTGGATTTGGTTCTCAGGACGAGGTTAACAAAGTCATGAGGAAGACTGTGGAGTTAGCAAGGCTAGTTGGTGGTGAAGGGTTCGAGGACATGCAGGAAAGTGAGGCAAGAGAACTGGTTGAAGAACATGCACTGGGCCTATATGATGAAGAATTGTTGGAGATTGTGCAGGCAGAGAGTGAGGATGAAGAAGAGGAGAGTGTTGCTGAGGCCAGTCAACCTCAAGCCCTCACACTTGAAAAACTAGGGCAAGTGATGAGAATGACAGCACAGCTCAAACAATTTTTCTACAAAATAGACCCATTGATGTTGAGGGCTTTGAAGGTGATGAGCGACATCGATAAGAGCATATTCCCTACAAACTCTGTAGATATGAAGAGGAAATGATCTCAGTTGCCCATCACAATGTT